TGATCTGCTACACAACCCCTTCAGGGGCATCCTGAACTTCACTACTGGAAAGGAAAGCATCAGGTTTAGGATAAGAGAGGTAGAACACACACACACCAAAACCAACCAAACAGAAAAACTCCATGCTTCTCACTGTTCCCTGGACAGCCCTTTCTGAATCATTGAGATATGGGAACTCATATTAAGCAAGTAGCTTTATGAACTCTGACTAGGACAACTTGTCCTGTTGATTAGAACTGAGCAGTCTTTTTTGAAAATACCTTTTTTCTTGCTGTTTTCCCTGACAGCTAATCCCTGCTGTTATCATCTGTGTACTAATTTTTAAAAGTTACTCACAAATATCATAAATGGATTTTTGGTTTGCAGAATATCTTAACTGCAGACACTGCAATTGAATATAAAATTAGAAGAGGCAGTTTACACACCTCACCAAAACACCAGGAGCTTCCAGCTGTGCATTCCACTTTTGGATCTGCAATTCTTAAAATTACCTAGTCAAGGGGAAACAAGTCATGCCTACTGCTTCTCCACACCTCTTTTAGTGATACAAGGGAATACTTCCCTTTTGTATACCTTCAGCTGACTCAAGAAACATGCCTTTGAGGTGGAATTATACAGGTCAGCTGGAGGAGTTGCATATATGCTGTCCTGCACTTTCAAATCAGAAAATTCCTGCAGGAAAAGATTGCCTAGAGACAGCTCTAATTTGTTTTAAACCATCACCCCTTCTAGCAGCAAGCAGGGAATTGTTATCTATTTATTCTTACAATGTCACCAAATCAGTGATCACCTGCAAGGTGTCCATAACAATAAACATTACTTTGTATATGGAGCTATTTCTGACAACACATGATGGTGCGCATCTATCAAAATGTCTGGAAGAGCCACCTATTAGGATCATTATCTACCACAGTCCCTTTGTGGGAGTTCAGTGTCAGCACATCCTGGGGAAGGTACCTCACTGGGTGCCTATTTTGCTGTTGTTTCTCTAGATTAATAGTATTTCACATTTTCTTTATGAATTTGGGAGTTAACGATACTCGGAACAAGGCTTTAGTGCAAGCACCATGACTCAGAAGCCTTCCAGAGCACAGCTTACTGCTGCACCCACTTGGCACAAGTGGGAACTTCTGTGCTGAGGGCCAGCAGAGCTCTGCAGAGCTGTGCACACCCAGCCCTACAAGCAGGCAACGCCATGAAATGGTTTCTCCTAGGAAGTTGTTACGTTCCAGCACTATAAAAACTCTGGTGAAACATGGCAGTTCCCCACTACTTACTGCTCCCTGCTGGGTCCATGCTACTGGAAGTACCACAGCTTCTCCTAGTTCAGCTGGTTCTGTCAGAAGGGAAACTTATTTTGAAAGAGCCCTGGTTCAGATCGGGGGCTTTGATCTTAAAAAAGAGTTAGTGTTCAGTAATCGTTTAGGAAACGGTGGCAGTTATCTCCTGAATCACCCTTCCTACAAGAAAGCCACAGCTCTCAGTATGTGCAGTATTCTTCATGAGAGACATTACAGCCAGAAAGCACATGTTTCTGTATGGAACCAGCTGCACAATACAGGGCCTCAATTCCTTCTGCAGAGACTCCCCTAGAAACACAAAGCATAGGTCCTAGGAAGTCATGCATTTTGGTTCTTGGGAAGAAGATCTGCAAAAGCGAAGCTCTAGGAAGGCACCTCAGTGTCTGCTAGCTTTCCCCTCAAGACTGGCTCTATTCAGAGAGGACAGTCCCTTTAACTGTGCTGATAGTGTCTCAGACCTAGCAGCAGCTCACATGACATAGCTGATTTCTGCCTCTTTCTGCAGGCTGACCTTGAACCATTCCTGCCAGTGATAGATGCAGCCTCTTTCCACCTGACAGAATAGTTATTTGGCTGCTTTACTTTTTATTTCCTATCACACTTAGTTCAAAGCAGTTCAGGCTACAGCCAGATCAGCATGCAAATAATGCAAAACAAGAGAACAAAGAAAAAAAATCAGCCCACTTCCTTATAGTGCCCAAGTAGTCCCTGCTCTGACTAAAGAGGGAGGTTGTAATTTTGTTAAACTAAACATGTCACCCATGTAGTGGGCAAAAGGGCCAGAAGCAATGCTGGTGATTTACATGAGCAATAAAACAGCATAAGAGTGAACTGCTAGATGCTCATGTTCCAGAGGAACACATGGTGCAGGCAGCATGGGAAACAGACTCGGGTGATGAATATGTGTAGCTATTAGCTGCCAGGTGGCTTTGATTCATGTCAGATACAATTAACTCACCCTGACAACAGGAAAAGGTAGCTTGAATATTATCAGCACTGTTTGTTGCATTGTTCTAATAGTGTCATGCTTCAGAGGTACCATACCTGCAAAAACAGAGCCTCGAGCTATGCTGCTCCACTGAATTTGCTCTGCAAAGTGCACGCTGACAACCTAAACAAGTACAAATGGGATTTGGAATCTGAAAATGCATTCATAAAAAACCCAACCCCCTCCCCCTCAAGTTCTACAGTACAGTAGAGCCAATAGTACCAACAGAGGAGTATATTCTCTAGGCTAGAGAAGTGTTTTAGTTCGTTTTTCTTCCCAGTAAAGGCATGTTTAAGATAGAGTTTACACTTATTTACAGCTTAACTAATTACTGTCTTTTTAATTTATAGGTTAACAGAACTCAAAGGCAGTAAGGTAAACTTATTTCAGCATATAGTTTACAATATTGCCACCTGCAGCTTAGAAGTTGTCACAACCTGTTAAACAGTGATCTCCAAATACATGTATAGAGTTCAGGTTCACATTAGTGACACACTTGCTTTTTAAATAAAACATATGAATGATGTTCTACAAACTTTTTCTCACCTCATGGGCTGCATTGAAACATTAGTTCCTTCTGATAGCATCTTTTCCCAGGCTCCATGCTTAATCACACTGCAGCCTTGGCTTTTGGAAAAGGCAGAACTTCCCAAACCTAGAAGCGTCCTCTCCACTTTACCAGCCACAAAGATACACAGCAAAATGAAACCCTTGGTTTTAAGGGTAATCTTTTATATTACAAAGATTTTAAACCATCTTCTCACAGACATCTTGAGCTTCAAAGAGCTCTGCTTTTCAGAGCTCTTGAAAAAGACAACTGATTTTAGGAAAGCAAATACAAGACTTCTCCCCTTACTTCATTTTGCAAGGAAGGGTTAAACCAAATGAAGGCTCCCACATATAGTTTTTAAACATACTAACCCTTTCCTAAGAGCCTACATACGCAGTCGAGTTTTCCCTCTGATCATGTAGAGCATGATTTCTCTGCATCTTCTATAAGTAGTGGAAAAAACATCGATGCCTGAGGAGTGATTTTATTCTGCTTAAACAGTATGTATTGGATATGGTTCTTTGGCAAGAAAATGTATTAAATACAATTCAAATTAGATCAACAGAGCTTGTTGGGGGGACGCTCCCAGCTTCCCCCCACCCCCCAATCTGGGACAAGTTACAAGCAGTCTGCATTCCTGTGCCTGATACTCCAAAGGGGAGGCTGTCAAGACTGAGATAAGGCCTGCTTGGGCCTCAGGTCCTTGAGAAACAAAGCCTCCTCTCATTGCCGGGGCAGCGTTAATCATTGTGGACTGGAATCAACTCCTTCACCGCTGCAAGAGTAATGTGGTCATTTGCAGTCACTCAAACTCCTTTCTTCAGTGCTGAGGCATGCTCATGGCAGCTAGCCTGCCGTTGAGGGGTGTTTGGCCACCCCAACAGTGGGTGCAATCATCATAACAAGGCAGAGGAGAGTCAAACCCTGCAGCAGCCAAAAGCTAAGGACTGCGACTGCCTGAAGAGAACTGCAACTGGCCTAGCAACTCCACCTTCCCTTGAAGGGTATAAATAGGTTGGCCCCAGAGGCTGTCTTTGGTGGTGACAGCAGGTCTGCCAACTGCAGAATCCCTTGGGATGGGGACACCCTCCCAAGTTACTTCCCTAGGATTGAGTGTACATTGGTCCCCGAGTTAACAGGCAAGATGAACCAGAATTGGTTTGCCTAATTCATTCATTGGGGTAATTACAATAATATAAATTAGCTAGCTTTGTCTATTTACTAAATAGTTACCATTAGCATAACTTTTGTGTAACTAGAAAAGCATTCTAGCTGAGCTAAGTTTTTGTTAATAAGAATTGTGCTTGTACCATTGTAACTTGTGTAATAAATTTTGATCTTTAAAATAAGTTGGAGTCATGCAGTAAATCTCCTTCTCCCCCTCCTTGTGCCAAATGAAACCCACAGTCCAGAACTGTAAGGACATTCATCCCACAGAGCTAAACATTGTTCTACTATGCCTGGCTTTCTTCCCTGACCATACTCAATTTCACAAGCACTGCTTCTCCTGATGACTTTGAAAGCGCTGGTGGAAAAAGCAAAGTTCCCTTAAAGGCATTCCAGTAGCTCTATGGTGCCTCACAGAAGTCTAGTTCATCAGAGGTCTAGCTGTCAGGTCTGTAAAGTTAATCTACACTTTTGAACATTTATTTCTTTAAAAACAATGAAGTATACAAGTTCATTTGTAATCTGCTTTGAGGTTTTACAGATAATAGCTTCAGTAAGAACAGAATGTTACTGTACCCCCTCCTCACTATTCACGGCAGCATCATGAACTACAAGAAGCTTTATATCTAGTCCCAGTCCCCAGTAACTTGCCTTTAGTTATCTCAGCTACTATACTGAGACAGTCATCACCTTTTAATCACACCAACATAAAAAAGGGACGTGCCTGGAAAGAAACACAACAAACCTGATCTGTTGCTTTTTTCCCCCCCGAGACAGATACAAACTTCAGTCACTTAGGTCTTTTGCAAGATGCCAGAATAGCCTCTCTACCCAGCTTGCTAGTCTGCAAGCCCAAGACAACAGTACCTTGGTCTCGGCCTTAGAGGAAAGAGGAAATAAAGTATTTTTCTCCAGATTTTTTTTTTTTTTAAAAAAGGCAATCTACTCTAATATCATTACATATTATAGGTAGAAAAAAAAATCAGTCCCTAACTTCCATTCTGTAAATTAATGGAAGGAAGAAACAAATTAGAAGAACTAAAGTTAGCAGTCCTAAATGCAACGTTCCATATTTACAGAGGGATATCAACATTCATCAAGTTTCATCTATGTGTCTTTGCACCGCTGCATGCTTGTGCGAGACGAACCTAGAAGGAAACAGAAATTAATCAGTATGCAACTGCTTACTACTTCTGCCAGAAGTGGAAGAAACATTCAGCTTTGATTCATTCTCAACTGAGAATAGTTCTCTTCCGACAAGTGCATCATTTAGCCATAGTTTGGATCAAGCCAAATGCGAGGTAAAGCTATTCCATTCCCCTCCTTCCCTTCTCAGTTCCTTTCCTCCTTGACCAGCAGCATGAGCCAAGATGTAAGACAGGGAGAGCTCAGTCCACTGACTAACCGGAGTGACAACACAGCATTACAACTGCAGTTCATAACTGAAAATAGACTTACTGATAGCTTCTTCATAATTCCTTGAGCCTCTGGATTCAGATGAAGAAGATTTTTCTTGGTCAAATCACTTGCTGTTAAACGAATACTCTGAAGAAAAGAGATCTCAGTCATTAAACATACAGCAAAACACCAGTCTACATTCTGCTCAGACCAGTTTGAACAGCTCCTACCTCTGACTAATAACTCCAAGATTATTTTTAAACTAGATCAACCCCTGATCAACTGTGATGGCATAACTAAAGAGAGAAGAACAGAGAGATGACCAGGAACAGCTTGAAACTTATAGGGCCCCCAAGAAGTGACAGGCTATCCCTTTAGCATAGATTTTGCAGATTCACATTTCTGATTTACCTCCCCTCCTCCAACAGGGACTGTAATGAAGATATCATTGCTGTCAGCAAGGGGGCTGCCATTGGCAGAGATGGTGTAAACACGTTCGTTGAGTGCAGGCGTGCGCAAACCTGGTGTCTTGAAAATTCTGAAACATTCCAAAGTTGTAGAGAAATAATTTATTGTAGTTTATTAAAGTGATCACAAGCAACTTCAATTAGATTCTCTGATGGAAAGAGTTTAAACAGGAAGAAAGCCTCTGCCTTGCAACTTGTTTCTGATATTCCTGAATATAGGAGCGTAAAGCACTTGCTCATGCTTCTTCTCTCTTTTTTTTAATATATGAGGCACACACAGATATGTGGGTGTGTATGTACATGTATATATGTATATACACACACACAAGAGAATCCATCTATAATATAGCTTAAAAAAACAGTAGAAAAGCCTGACTGCCTATGAGGCCTGAACAGATTCAGAGAATGTTCACTGAACAAGTAGGAAAGGAATTAAAATTTCACACACACAAACTCTGCAAAAAAGTAATTCACATGGAGGAAAAAATGGAGTTATGAAGTCTCAATGTGTAATCCTGACTCCACAGAAAACTCCTTATGGGTACCAGTCAAAATCTTATCTCTGCTTCCATGATCCCATTCTAACATGGGACTTTCAGATAACACTACACATGCTCTATTAAAAAGTTTCAAAAAAGCTAGTCAGGCACACTGATCAAGGCACGCTTAAACCCAAGGTCTTTCGTTACAGATTCAAAGAGTCATCAAGGACCATTTTGCAAATAGATGACAGATACATAAAGCAAACAGTTAAGACCTCCTCTGTATTAAAGATTAACAGAGAAATAGAACACAAACCTGGAATCAAACTTGGGTGTGACAATGGAAGTACCTCCCCGAGTGCAGACATCAACAATTCTACCAGTAGCTGGAGTGATAAAGTTGTTTCTGCTTGATCTGCTAAAGAAAAAAAATCCTGCTCTGAAGAATCATTTTAACATATGTCCGAGCCCTGTCTTATCATAGCCTCAAATGAAGGGGCCACCACAGAAAAAAGTCAGAGGTTCTTACTGATTAAGGGTGAACCTCAAAGCTAGGGATAAGCTGATCCTCAGAAGAGAGGAAGTTGCCTGTCTTTCATTCACTGTCAAATCACTGATTGATTTAGTAGGCTGATGCATAGGCATGCCATGCTGTAGAAACATACTCCATTCCACTTGAATTTTATGAGCAACACACTTACTCTCCTTTTCTGAAAGCCAGTGAAAAGGCTATCTCCTGATACCTTTTACTTATGCGTTTCACTCTTGTTGAAGGAGCTCTTCTGCTCTTGGTCACAGGCACTTTTTTGGTGGATGCCTTCACCTGAAACACATGACTCAAATCAGTTATATTATCACCAGACAGCTGAGCCCAACATGAATAAATGCTTCCACACAAAGAGTTTGACTTAATAGCTTCCTTTTTAAGGCACAAAAAGCCTGAACCAAATGCCATACAGACTTCTGTAGTCTTTCACATTTTAATATCACTCATATGTTCCCCCCCTAGCTCTGCTGTAGATTAGGAGGACACTGGACTACATGAACTTAATCTGACCCAGTACTGTCGATATATTCATTATTGCCCACAGCAAAAGCAGCAGGAACTGGCACTGGTAAAGAATTTTCACTACGGTTAGAAAAGTCTCTAGTATAGTGAGTATCACACTCTGTATACAACCATAAATACATTAGCTCAGAGGAAAGGGATGAAAAGTGAGACCCTGCAGATCTACAGAAGCAATAGAAGCAGGGATCAAGCATTTGCACAAAGCTAAGTAACTGCACTCCAAAAGCAAATGAAAAACCAAGATCCCCATCACTAGACATTCCAGGAGACAGTGGCTAGCTATTTTCAAGTCCTCTTTGAAGTGCCGTGAACACCATTATCACAGGCATCATCTCAGTGAAATAGTTTACATCTTGAGAACAGAGTCATCATAGCAGTAGCTATTTACCTTCCCAGTTCTCGGATTAATATTTTCAGCTTCTAGTTCTGCAAGAGATTGGTTATCATGTTTTGTCTTCTTTGCTTGAGGGTGTAAAGGAGACTCTGCTTCTTCTTCAATAGCTTCAATACCCTGTTTAGATTTTTCAGCTAAAAAGAGAAAGTGTTATCTAAGCTGAAAGCAATAAGTCATGAGCTAGCAGTTGGGTCAGAAAATAAACAATGATAAATATTTTCGGCAACAATTTGCTCCTGAAATCCAAATCCCAATAAGAGCAGCTGATAGAACACTATTATTTAAAGTTTTGTTCAAAAAATTAAGTAAAATTACTTCTGGTAACAGGAATAAAGGAAGAATCATTTTATTGTGTTTAAACATGTTGAAGGCTGTAAATAGGAGTTGAATTATCATTTACAGTACACAGACCATTGTAAGCTTTCATCTTATTGAACTCATCACAATCCTTAAAAGCAAACTGACCTTTCTTGATGATTTTTAAAGGAGTCTGGATAACTTCCGCTGTTAACTTGTTTATTTCTGTTATTTCCAAGTCTACCTACAATTAAAAACAGTAATGATAACATTAGAATCATCAGTACAGCATAACTGATGAGCCAAAGTCGTGGAGCAAATGCTTAATTATTCTAGAACAGAAATACATCCATATTCTTCTGTTGTGCTCAAACTGGGAGCTTTCATGTTATTCTAGAAGTGACAGCAACTTAACAGGAGTGCATAACATTCAGTACTAAGGAGTCTCATTTGGCAGCTACAAGTATCCTTCTGCCTCTTCCCTACAGCTTGGTTTTAAGATGCTTTACAGAAAAGTGCATATTCTCTCAGGGATCTAAGAGTGAAGTTAAGCAGATCAGGAAAGCTAGCAGCGCACCCTAGGCAAAGAACAGTATGGTCAGACAAAGCCTACAATAAATACAATAGATGTTTATTACCTTTAGGTCTTAACACAGTAGCTGTGAAAGTGTTTATGCAGTCTGTGTTATTGTAGCCTTTGTACAAATTCAAGAAACCCTTCTCTCCTACAGGGGCATAAAATGTCCTCAGGAAAACATAGTATTTATGTTAGACACCTACCGTTGCTGCCTCTTCTAAGACCTTTTTGCTTCCTCCTTTAGCTACAAGGAAAACATTAAAAATCAATATACATCCAGGTCAGCTTATACAATGCTTTAATACTTCACCAGAATGGTGGAAAAACACAGCACAAACAAGTTTCCTTGGCAGCAAGTGAGCAGCCTAAGGCAAGAAGAGAGGAGTGCTTCCAAGAGTACTCGCAGGCTTTTCACTCACAAGACTTAAGGCACCGTGGGATTCAGTTTTCTCTGGCACGGTTTTTCCTTCCCCCTCCCTCTAGCCTAAGGGAAGCCCCGCACCCGGCGCCCCCCCCCGTACCGAAGTA